TTTAAATAACCATAAGTTTTTAAAGAATTCAAAGAATTTTTATGGATAGTAAACTACTTAATAGATTTTTAATAACTTACCCCTTAAAAATGTGAGTATTGAAAATAATTTACGCTTGTGTAATTCTGATTAAAAGTTTCTTGATAATGTCTGAAACCATTCTAAAACAATCCTTGAACTAAATAATTTATATTTGCCACAAATGAAATAGAAATCTTGCTAAAATTTTGGACTTGTATCTTGTCAATCTTTCTGCTTAAAATTAAAAGTTTTTAGTGTAGTTTAATCCTTTGTTTAGTTGTTAAAATCTAATTAATTTTATTAATTTTGGGCACAGTGCGGCGTCTTTGGCGCAATTCACTTATGTATTTACGCAAATATGTCATATAGTCGGTCATGAAAGTGGTATAAGCCTGAAAAGAGAATAAAAATATTGAAATGAATTAAGGATTTTTTACAAATTTGAAAGAGATTATTTACATTCAGTAAAATTCTAGTATAAACTAGAACTGAACTAGAACTGAACTAGAACTGAACTAGAACTGAACTAGAACTGAACTAGAACTGAACTAGAACTGAACTAGAACTGAACTAGAACTGAACTAGAACTGAACTAGAACTGAACTAGAACTGAACTAGAACTGAACTAGAACTGAACTAGAACTGAACTAGAACTGAACTAGAACTGAACTAGAACTGAACTAGAACTGAACTAGAACTGAACTAGAACTGAACTAGAACTGAACTAGAACTGAACTAGAACTGAACTAGAACTGAACTAGAACTGAACTAGAACTGAACTAGAACTGAACTAGAACTGAACTAGAACTGAACTAGAACTGAACTAGAACTGAACTAGAACTGAACTAGAACTGAACTAGAACTGAACTAGAACTGAACTAGAACTGAACTAGAACTGAACTAGAACTGAACTAGAACTGAACTAGAACTGAACTAGAACTGAACTAGAACTGAACTAGAACTAGAACTGAACTAGAACTGAACTAGAACTGAACTAGAACTGAACTAGGACTGAACTAGGACTGAACTAGAACTGAACTAGAACTGAACTAGAACTGAACTAGAACTGAACTAGAACTGAACTAGGACTGAACTAGGACTGAACTAGAACTGAACTAGAACTGAACTAGAACTGAACTAGAACTGAACTAGAACTGAACTAGAACTGAACTAGAACTGAACTAGAACTGAACTAGAACTGAACTAGAACTGAACTAGAACTGAACTAGAACTGAACTAGAACTGAAATAGAACTGAAATAGAACTGAACTAGAACTGAACTAGAACTGAACTAGAACTGAACTAGAACTGAACTAGAACTGAACTAGAACTGAACTAGAACTGAACTAGAACTAGAACTGAACTAGAACTGAACTAGAACTGAACTAGATCTGAACTAGATCTGAACTAGAACTGAACTAGAACTGAACTAGAACTGAACTAGAACTGAACTAGAACTGAACTAGAACTGAAATAGAACTGAACTAGAACTGAACTAGAACTGAACTAGAACTGAACTAGAACTGAACTAGAACTGAACTAGAACTGAACTAGAACTGAACTAGAACTGAACTAGAACTAGAATTTTCACTGAAATGCGTTTTTAGGGAAAATTTTCACTTAAATGAGTTTTTAGTGAAAATTTTACCGAAATTAGTTTTAAGTGAAAATATTCACTGAAATTAGTTTTAAGTAAAAATATTCATTGAAACTAGTTTCAAATTCGTTTTCAGAAAATACTTACAGTATCTAATACATAACGCGGTATATAGCCTTTCAAATCTAAACACAAAATCCACTCAAATATACAGGCATCCGTTTTACCCTCTATCTCGTGCATTGCAAATCCAGCAACCAAATTTTCACCTCTTATATATTTCGTATTCGCTGGCACCCTATCATAATCCACACTTAACGCAGCACTTAACCACACCCGGCCCTTGGCATTGAAACCTTTTAATGGTGATTGTGTGCTCTGTGAATTTTTGATTTGTTCTTCATCTTCAACATGATCTTTAGCATCTTCAAATTCATCATCTAAAGGAGGTGGTTCACTGAAATTAATACGCATGGCTTCGCTGAAATCTTTAGCGCCCAGACTTTTGCTTAATGTCTGAAAAGCGGCCACATTATCCTTATGTAGAGTCATGCTAGTGCTATTCTTACAACTACCCACACTACTGGATTGAGCGCCTTCATCGGCATCGGATATGGTAGAAACACTACCCTCACAGGAATTATTGAGCATTTCTTCATCGTCGGAAGAATCGCTTTCCACATAGCTTTCACGCATTTTACCATCTACAAAAAGGCGCCAACAACGTAAGTTAACAAAATCACGTGATTTAATCATGCCACCTCCACCACCTACCGTAGCCTGGTAAGTAATGTCCGTATAAGTATTTACTTTCTGTTAAAAAGTGAAGAAAAAGAAGTTACAATTGAATCAATTTCTTTTTGAATAAAGTAACTTACTCTCACAATCTTTGATTCCAACATGGTGGGATTCCAATGAGGCGCTTCTTCAATTTTATAAAACAATTCATTACACAAAGCTTTGGCAGGATATTTTAGGCGACCCTGTAAGCAATAAACAATTTAAATTTTATTTTTTATATTCCTTTATCAAAACTTACTGTTAATTTATAAATCTTCCCCAATTTCTCACGATGTATACTGCTTATTGTATCACCCTTTTTGGTAACTTTTTCAACTTTCCAATCGGGCACTTGCAACAGTTCATAGGCCTTGCGTAAGCAATCCAAACCCATTTGATGATACTCATCATCCTGTAAGAAGAAATTTATGATTAATGAAAAAGCAGAAATGTAAATCAAATGAAGAGAACTTGAACTGTACCATTCTCAAGTAAAGTTTTAAATAAACTCATTTTATCACTAGGTGGGTTTAGCATTTTATAAAGTTTTTTTCTTCGTTTGTTTTTTAAACAAACTATATATTTGTAATGCAAATTTAATTTATTCTTGACCATCAAAAATTGTGTTAAATTTATAAAGGGAATTCGGTAAATTATTTAAGAAATGAAATATGTCGTACTCCTCAATTATTTAAAACCTAAGTAGAATTTTTATAGCATTTAATATTTTGACTTAAAACAGTTTTTGGGGAACACTAGAACTGACCTAGAACTGAACTAGAACTGAACTAGAACTGAACTAGAACTGAACTAGAACTGAACTAGAACTGAACTAGAACTGAACTAGAACTGAACTAGAACTGAACTAGAACTGAACTAGAACTGAACTAGAACTGAACTAGAACTGAACTAGAACTGAACTAGAACTGAACTAGAACTGAACTAGAACTGAACTAGAACTGAACTAGAAACTGAACTAGAACTGAACTAGAACTGAACTAGAACTGAACTAGAACTGAACTAGAACTGAACTAGAACTGAACTAGAACTGACTAGAACTGAACTAGAACTGAACTAGAACTGAACTAGAACTGAACTAGAACTGAACTAGAACTGAACTAGAACTGAACTAGAACTGAACTAGAACTGAACTAGAACTGAACTAGAACTGAACTAGAACTGAACTAGAACTGAACTAGAACTAGAACTGAACTAGAACTGAACTAGAACTGAACTAGAACTGAACTAGAACTGAACTAGAACTGAACTAGAACTGAACTAGAACTGAACTAGAACTGAACTAGAACTGAACTAGAACTGAACTAGAACTGAACTACAACTGAACTACAACTGAACTACAACTGAACTACAACTGAACTACAACTGAACTACAACTGAACTACAACTGAACTACAACTGAACTACAACTGAACTACAACTGAACTACAACTGAACTAGAACTGAACTAGAACTGAACTAGAACTGAACTAGAACTGAAATAGAACTGAACTAGAACTGAACTAGAACTGAACTAGAACTGAACTAGAACTGAACTAGAACTGAACAAAACTGAACTAGAACTGAACTAAAACTGAACTATTTTCAGTACAAAATTTCACTAAATTCGTTTTCAGTTAAAAATTTCTCTAAATTCGTTTTCAATGAAAAATTTCACTAAATTCGCTTTAAGTGAAAAATTGCAATAAATATCACTAAAATTCGTTTTTAATGAAAAGTTTCAGTAAAATTCGTTTTCAATGAAAAATTTCACTAAAATTTATTTTTGTTGAAAAATTTCACAAAAAAAAATTCTAGAAAAATTTCACTAAAAACGGTTTTCAGTGAAAAATTTTACTGAAAACAATTTTTAATGAAAAGTTCCACTGAAATTATTTTAGCAGAAATTTTCACAAAATTTTATTTTTAGAGAAACTTTTCTCTAAAATTTATTTTTTAAAGAAAATTTTTACATTCTTTAAATTGATTTCAAATAGTTGCTCACCTGTTGCTCTTCATCATCACTGTTATGAGCTGAATCTAGAGGCGAATAAAAATCGGCTACACTTTCGGCAGGACGACGCTCATTTTGTGAGGCCAAAAAAGGTGCCATCAAGGGGGAACGATCCGTTGAATTAGTAAGAGCTAGAAGTACAGTTTTATAAATTAGAATTTGAAAAATAACAATTAATAAAGAATAAAATTACCAGAAAAATAACGTCTAGCATGACGTTCTTGTGGTATAACACGACAATCTAAAAACCAAGCTTCACCCCAAGCCAAAACAAAGGAGGATAAAATGAGTATAACAACGAAAACTTGTTGGCTGGAATCGACCCACTAAAGAAAATTTAAGAAAAATTATTTAAAGAATATTTAAAGAAAATAAAATCTAACTAATAACTTACATTAAATACAAAAACTTTAGAAATCAAAAACAGACAAGAACCACTAGTGGACAGCTGGAAGAGAAATAAAATAATATACATATTTGATTAGAACAAAGATTTTCTTTAACTCAAAACAAAAACCTACCGCAATTATAAGCCAATGATTTATATACATTAGAGCATAGAAAAATATTAAAACTAAAAATCGACAAATGGCCGCTGCCACAACATCAAATAATGATTCATTTACTGTATAATGCAGTATTTGTTTTTGCAGTGCTTGTATTATACTATCACCATTTATCTATAATTAAAAATAAATAAAGATTACAAAAAAAGAAAAACAATAACAAATTTAACAATTAAAACTAATAGAGTTACAAACCACTATACATATCAGCCAGAGAAGTGAAACGAAAAATAAATCAAATGTTACAAATAAACAAAAAAATCTTCGTACTACAGACATACGACCATCTTGCATATAACCACCCAGGAATTCTTCAGTAATAAGATTTATGGAATGAGTACGAGCTGGAATATATAATGAAATAAATTACAACAATTTTAATTATTAAGAATAGAATGCTTAGCATACACATATCAAACCCTGGAGGATTGCTGCCTCCCCTCGACTGCATAATGCGAGTTTGATTTATTAATAATTCGGCAGTACTACGTAGATCTTCGGAACTATTTTGAGACATTTTTGGGAGTTTGTTATTGAGCTTTGCTACTAAATCACAACATTTTTATTTGTTTAAAGATTTGTAAATTTATGCTGTTTTTTTTTTTTTGTAATGCTGTAAAAAAAGGTTTTTATAAAAATTTATTTGTTTTGTAAAGAAGAAATGAAATAAAAATTTTTATTAATTTCAGTTTTATTATATTCTCACAATATGAAGTGAATGTCTTTCAGATAAGCTGCCGAAAAGTTATATACATACGGCTGCAGCATATCAGTTTTATAATAAGTACATATGAGTGTAATAAACAAAAATTACGTATTTTTATATATAAAATAAATTATATCCCTTATATAGGCTAGATTATTGATAATAAAGAGTATGAACTTATATAATTATAAAGAACAGAAGAAGAAAAGGGGAAATATTGATTTCTGAATCTAATTAAGAGCCGATGCAGTTCGCACAGCTGGTAACGTAAAGGAAATGTTCCTGGTGCAATAAACTGTTGCTTATTTTTCAATAAAATATCATTATTTTCTAAACATATGAAATTTTATAGAAAAATTATGAAATTTTACTTTCGAAATTTATGTTCGAATTTTCGAATATTGTCAGAATACCACAAATTCTTAAGATTTTTTATAAAAACTTTTTATTTTGTTTTATAAAAACATAATTTAAAGTTTTAAGTCGTATTTGGAAATTTCGAAATTAAGTTCGAATTTTCGAAATTGTCGAAAATTCCACAAATATAATAATAATATAAACACAAAAATAACAAACTAAACAAGAAAAATAAAATTTGACAACCTTTTGCAAGAAAATTTATTTTCGAAATTCGAACATTAACAAAATATTACAAATTTTTAGAAATAGTTCAAATTTTATGGAAAATGTTCAATTTAGTTAATACATTTTTCAAGTTTATGTATATTTTAAAAATGTTGAATTAAAGTTCGAATTTTCGAATATTGAAAAAATATTTTTTTATGATGCAACAGAGTCCTAAATGAACACTGGTTAGTCAGATTGTTGTAGCCGAAACGTAAAGTGTTTCGTTTATTAGATTGTTTCAAGATAAAGAAAGATATTTCTAATAGTTAGGGAAAATTTAAAAGATCTATAACTTTGAAATAATATAATGCTAATTCTATAAACAAAAAACCTCTCAATGTTTGTATATAGTTTGCGAACAATAGAGGTCTCCTCACATCTACTTCATAAAACATATGAGTAGTTTTGTATAGATGTTAATATATTTCAGGAACACAACAAAACAACACAAAGTATAACCGAGTCAAGACCTACTTTATAACACAGTTAAACAATATAAACTTATTTCAGGAAGAAATTTTACATATTTCAAGGTCTAAAAGTTCAAATTATCAGACAGAAGACCCATAAGGTTTTTGGGCCGCTTGGATTACTTTTAAGTGGATGAGAAACCACAGTTTCCAAGCGTTACAAAACTTAGAATAAACCCATTACACCCTCCTCCCCACTATACCTACTGAAGTAGGGTATAATAAAACCACAATAATTAACTAAATAATCTCACTAAAATGTGTGTCAGTATGTAAACAATGCAAAAAAAAATCCAACAAAGTAAACTAAAAATCTATATCGCCTTTAAACTAATTTATTATTGTTGAATTTTTTTATTTATAATATTATTAATTAATCACTTTTTTTTAACTCATTAAAAACAATACACCAGCAGCAGGAAATTATACATAATGGTAATTTTCTTTTGTTTTGGCCACTGTCTATCATCGTCTTAATTACAAAGTTATTTTTTTCTATTTATACAATTTTCGTTTACATTATTTTCACTTTTTTCATCTAAATATACCTTTAAAAATAATTATATTTTATTATTTATTAAATTCACTATTTTTATTTTAGTTTGCAATTAAAATATACAAAAAATACTGTAACAATGAATATTAATTTTCTTCTTTTTTCACTTCAATTGCATTTCTTTGACAAATTGGAAAAAAAAACAACATCGTTGAGAGAGTGTATGAGGGAATTTTGACATATGGTTAAATACGTGTTGCCATATTGTTAAAAGAAAACAAAAAAAAGAAAAGAACCGTTAAATTGAAGTAAAACGTTTTATTAGCCGTTTAATATTTTTGTATACGATTTTTCATCTTTTTTTAAATTTTAATTGAACTTATTATACCCTACACCGCTATAGTGGGGAGGGTATTATGCGTTTGTGCAAATATTTGTAACACCTAAAGTATACCAATAGGTTCAGAATCACTCTCCGTCTATGTGTCCACGCTAATCTGATAAAATTTGGTACATACTTTTCTCCAAGGACGAAGCCTATTGAAAATGGTTGAAAGCGGTTCATTATTTCACCTAGCCCCCATATAACAGTACACGTACCGACTCTGAATAATTTGTTAAACTTCAATCGCCCTTCAGCGCCCTAATAGGACAAATTACACTGGCACTAGAATCTGATCAAACAGAGTTTATTTATTTCATGAATGGCTTCTGAGACCGCTATTTGATTTGAAGTCATAATAGACTTGTAGTTTTTTTAACTATAGAATATATTGAGAACAAAAATTAATTGCCATTTTAAAAGAATGGAAGACTAGAATAAGACGTTTCCATTGAAAGCAGATGAACTGATAGCTATAACTTTATAACACTTCTATTTTCGAAAATCCAACACAGATTATAGTCAATGATAATCACAATTTCATAAAAAATTTTCACTACAGAAACACACACATTACTTAAATGACAATTTTTTAATATTTAAATATTAACAATTTACTACAAAAAAATTTTCAATTAAAAATTTATATTTTTTTTTTAATCATACCCACCTTAATTACTTAAGTGTATGGAAATAATTTTAATATCATCATAAGGTTTATCAGTTTTGGGATTTGTTTTAGAATTGCAAATATTCTGACAAACTTCCATACCTTTAAAGACACGGCCAAAAACTGTATGCTTATTATCCAACCAAGGCTAAAAAGAAATAGAAAAATTTTAAGTTATTTAATTATTGGAAAAAGTTTATAGCCAAAAACTCCCAAAAAAAAACCTACCGTGGGTAATACAGTTATAAAAAATTGACTGCCATTGGTATTTGGTCCAGCATTCGCCATACTAACCGTATACGGACGATCATGTTTCAAACTAGGACAAAATTCATCTTTAAAATCATGACCCCAAATAGATTTTCCACCAGTACCCGTACCAGTTGGATCACCAGTTTGTATCATAAAACCTTTGATGACACGATGGAATATATGATTGTTGTAATAACTTTTGAAATATAAAAATTAAGAAATTAATTTGTTAAATCTGTTAATTAGTTAAATTTCAAATATTTTACCCATTTTTGGCATGTACACAGAAATTTTCGACCGTTTTGGGACATTCTTTGTAGAAGAGTTTTATATGTATATCACCCATTGTGGTATGTAGTACCACATTTTCATAGACACGTTGAATACCTGTTAAAAAGATTTTTATTAATGTTAGTTTATTTTATAAAAATAATATCAATATGGAAATAACCTTCTTCTATTTATGGTTAGTAAGCATGAAAAAAGAGTTATACAAATTTTAGAATTTTATTTAATATAAAGAAATTATTAATTAATCTGAAGCCTTGTCTAGTAATTCAATCCTCTTCAATTTGTATATTAAAAAGTATTAATAAAACTTACCTTGTCCTTCTGGTACAGCTATTATATCCTCCTTGGTAGGTTTTTCATTAAATATATCACGATCAACATCCTGTAAGTCAGATGGCAAACGTCTGCTGTACATGTAAAAACGTTGTTTTCTGAAAATACAACATCCGATTAGAAAATTGTTAACATCGATAATGAAATGGACTTCATACTTGTAGGCCGTACAAAATAGCGTGGGATCATTGGCCAAATTTTGTAAAGCGGGATTTTCACTAGCCTCTTGTTCTAATGTTATAGCAGCTTTTACTCTTTTAGCTTTGCCCTATAATAAATCTTTAATATTAGTATTGTTTAAATATAAATAAAATTAACAATTTACCTGAAACAAAGCAATATGTAAAGGTCTTATATTATCAGTTTTGCCTAATATATTAACACATCTATTCGTTTCTATATTAATAACTTTAATACCAATCAAAGTGGGATACAATAGGAAATGACCACTGGCATCAAATAGAATATTATTGCTCATGTTAAAATCGGATTTTTCTAAATCACGTTCTGCGGCCATTCTAAGGATATGGAAGAAATACACATTCAACTTTTCAGTAGAGCACAAAGGGACAATTACTTACCTCCTGCCAAATTCCATATTCGGCAAAGCATGTGGTGTTTGCTGCATTTGTACATAAGTCGATAGGGCTTCATCAAAGACTCGTATTAGCTTACCGGTTTGAAATTTAAATACCCGAACTTTACGATCGGTGGAAAGAGTAGCAAAACGTTGACCATCGTTTGACACCGCCAGGCCGGTAACCAATGTTTTACATTTGGCAAACTCAAAAAGGCCTAAAAAAACCAAAATATTATTAATATATATTAGTTTGGTATTACTCTTTTCTTAAAAAAAGACCAACTTACTGGTATCCAATTTGGAATCGAATGTTACATGTTTTTGTGGAAATTTATAATCATATTTTGAATTCTGCCAATATTCCAATATGCCATTACGATCTACCGAAATAGCAGTATCTTTGGGTACATTATAACAAATAGCTATAACCGGGGCCAAATGTAATTTATCTAAAACATGTAACACCTCACCATTACCCTGGCCATCGTAAATATGAATTTTATTGGATTCTTTGTCAGAGCTTTAAGAAATAAACCGTTTATAGCAACATTTTAACCTACTTATTAAATAATAACAAACTTACATGGCCAAACTTTGTACAGCATCACCAGGTGAATGTATCCAACAACTGCAGCCGGGTATAAAACCCAATTTTATAATATTTATCATATCAAAATTAATAACATCAAAAACTTTGGCACATTTATCCGCTGAGGCAGAACATAATAAAGTACCACCGGCATTGGCACTAAGACTATTAATGGGCACTAAAAATAAAACAGGATGACAGAATTAAAACAATCATAGAAATTGTTGGTTTGCTTACTTACTCAAATGACTACGAAAATGTTTAACAAATTCAATACCCTCTTCCATTTTCTTCCAGAACTTAATGTGACCATCTATACTGGCGGTTATAACAAAATCCGTTTTGGTAGCCACCAAATGGGTGATAACATCACGATGCATATAACTCTTTTCATAGCACTCGGCATCGGGCAAGTTTTCCAGAAAAACATGTTCATAAGGTAAAACTAAATGGAAGAGTAAGTAAATATTTATCAACTCCTTAAAGTAAATAAAGAAATACCTTTTTTCTTTTTGGGCTTGGAAGCGGCTGACTGTTCAGTGGGCAAGGGGCCAATCCAGCCACCATCTTCCTCCTCTTCCTGCTCCGCTTCTTTATTCTTCTTCTCCTCTGTATCATCAGCAACTCTTTTCAAAGTTTTCTCCGTTTCTGAGCTCATTTTATTATTATTTTTGATAAATGTAAAATTTTTGGTGTATTTTCACGTTTTCCTTTAATAATAGTAAACAAATGCTGCTTCTTCTAGTGTTTTTTTATTTGAGTGGCAGTTTACACAACGTAACTTTTTCGCTCAACTGTTTGATTTTGTTGGTGTGAGAATAACTTCTCTTCTTCTAACAGACAAAGTAAATGCATGTAAACCCACTCATTATAAAAAATACGAAGCGAATTTATACATTTTATTAGAATTCTTATAAGAATTTTTAGTTTCTTACTATTTTGTAGTTATAAAAAAATAAACATATTGAACAATGCATTACAGTAGTAGGGTTTTACAGTTTTTGAAACAAAAAGTCGATTTTCCGACATCCGATTCTATAGTTTAGTCCATAACTTAGTTTCTAGTCTTTAGTCTAGCGATAGCCTAGTCTATAGTCTAGTCTATAATCTAGTCCATAGCCTATTCCATTGTCTTGTATATAGTCTAGACTATAGTCTATTCAATAGTCTAGTCTATAGTCTAATCTATAGTCTAGTCTATAGCATAGCCTTTAGTATATTCCATAGTCTAAAGAAAACATACTTTTTCTACTATGGTCTAGTTTGTAGAATCGACTCTTATTTTGTCAATTATAGGAAATAAATAATATTATGAAAAATAATTCAACTAATGTTTAAATAAAATGTCGAAAAGCGGATATTAAAAAAAATCTAATTCTGCAATTGCAAAATACAAATTCGAAAAAACGACTTTTCATTGTTTGCATAAGTCGACTTTTTATCATAATTTTCAAAAAGTCGACTTTTTATTTCTATTATAGAACTCTGCCAGCAAGTAGCGGCCACAAAAGAAAATTGCAAAAAAAACATTTCACGAAGACAAAAACAAAAAATTTAGATTAACAACCACAAGAGAAACGAAAAAAATAATCAAAAAAAGGAGAAAGGAATTTTTTTTTTCGTAAAATTTTCAACAAATTCTTGTCGCAACGAAAATATTTTTGTACAGAAACAGTGTTTAATTAAATTGAATGTAATTAAAATGTCGGATATTTTAACTGAAGACTCCACAAACGATGGCATTGTTATAAGAGCGCCAGTTGAGCACCCTCGCATAAGAATCAATAGATGGCGGGTAAGGGAAGGCTTTCCGGTAAGCGCTTCACAAGTCATATTACTCTATGAGGCCCTGCCAACCGAGGGTGTTGAAGACGCCAGCACAAAAATAGCAAATAAAATTATATACAAATTAAAGGCACAACGAGTTGGTGTAGTGAAAAAACGTCTCTTCAAGGATGGAGCCATTGTTAAAGCGGAGTAAGTTTGTGTGTGTTGTATGTTTATTTGGTTGTTTATTATCCTTAAAGTTTGTAAATATATCGATCCAATAATTTTGTCATTATGCTGTGCTGTTGTTGTTATCCTTTTCTTACATCTCATTTTTGTATTTGTAATTTCTAGTGCTCCCC